TTTAAAGCAAGAGGAATGGATTGAGGGCTTTTGATCTCAGTACCCCTTTCTTCCAACTTCCGATGTAGCTGTAGTGAATTTCAAGAGAAGTAATCATTTCCTCGATACCACAAGTGGTTGCACAAGTAATTGCAATAGCAAGAGGCTTGATTCCGATATCAGTGCTTTGAAGCACACTTGAATTTTGTGAATAGATTCACTGCAGTCAAAGAAAGGGAGTCGAATGAATTATGAATTGACAATAATTTGTAGAGGGTTCACGGACTCGCGGACTTATTGGTAGCATAGGAGAAAAGGAATTTCATGCTGATAGTATAATCATGTGAGAGAAAAGTGTACGAGAAGAGACATGCGGAGGTACAGATCTACGTCATCTAAAATATCAATCAATAACTTTTCAGAGATACTAATAATTCATTCAGCAATACAGATTCACGGTGTTTAGATTCTCATATCTAGCTTTGCAGAGCTTTATAGAGATCCTGAGTAAGATTGCCGGATCGGGATGATACATCAGAAGAGACTCCGCATAAACACACGGCAGCGCCAGTGGAAAAGTTTAATGCAAAGCATTGGGCTCTGTAATGGTACCAATCGTGATATCTCGATGAGGCCAAACAATAAAATGATTAGTTCCATGGCAAGTTAACATGTTTTGCCTCATGTATCTCATCTTATGCAAGAAAAAAGTCCAAGTTTAAGCCAGAATTTGACATGCCAGAATTTATGCAACTTTCTTGAATTTTGAAATTTCTCTCAGCCCATGTATCGAGCGACGGTCAATGTACAGAAGCCTGTGAAACTTCAAAATTTAATTTTTCGATCATGAATAAATGAGATCGCATTGATTTATCCAAATCCCTAAGATATCTAAAAAGGAACCTAGTCACAAACCGCAATTTATTTTCGTTTTTGGAGGCAAACCTCTTGCTTGTAATGGCAAGTCATGTGTTGTCTGGGAAGAAAGTGTGGGAAGAAAGAAAGGGGCGATTATTAGCCGAAGGTCTATTTAGTGCCGAGAAAGAGACAAAGCAACTCTAGTACGTGTGTCATTGCGACTCATTACTTGCTTACTACAATTTGTTAAACGTGATATGGACGTCTCTTGTTAAGTCACTTTTATACATTAATGTATTGATCTTGAATGAAGATCAGCGGCAGTTCATATCGCGCGCTAGATGCTAAGTTCATGGCAAGTTGGTGCACTCTGTTCAGAAGTTAGATCAATGGATTCAACCCTCTTAAGTATAAATTATATCAATATTTATTACACATCGGAGAAACTCTCTATCTTTTCTAGTTCTTCGAATTAGAAAGTCTTTATTAGTTGGCCGAATTTAGTATTGGTCTCTTCTTGGCCCCTGCCTTATTGACATTTGTTGTAAGACATCGTGAGTCCCCTGTAATTTTTTGGTACAGGTTGGTGTATTCTTAGTTGGTCTTAGCAACTACCTAGCGGTCCCTTGTTAATGCCTGGCTAAAAGCGAAGCTAAATGGTAGATGGACTTTGTTGCATATCTCGTACCCCTGCAGTTATTTAGTGAACACCAGTAGCATTGTTTCCAGCTGCTAGGAGGAATAAATTGACTTGGTGAGGGCAACCATATAAAGTTGAGCTAGCTAGGGCTCACAGCTATCATAATTGCTCCAATATCATAGGTGACATAGTTTCAAACCGCCCCATGATTGCAATTTTATATCAATTTAACTTTCAAACCGCACTGATGATGATTTTTGCTAAGGTTTACCGCAAGACTTTAATTGAGTAGGTCAAAAACTAAGCTCATGGGAAGTAACGGAATATTGGACATAACGCAGAAAGTTTCATAGAAGCTGAGATGACTGCTGTCAATTGAAATAAGAACTTGGTGGGTTTACCTGAGTTTGGAAGCTGCCAAATTTCTGATAATGCCCGTGAGATCAACAACTCCTCTGCTGGTAGAACCCTTTCCTCAAAAGTGGGTACCTTTCTGGAAGGGGATCCCGCTACTATGTGGGTACCTGTAAGTAATCTGGCGCTGAATAGCATCTCTTGTATTTTGCTGTGACACAAGTGTAGTTAAATAAGAAGACAGAGAAGTTGACCCTGTATCGAGGCTCGAAGATTGGGGCTGCGAGCTGACGGTACATTTCCAGATAACGTTAAAGTGAAGAGAGCAATTCCTCCAACCCACAGTAGAATTCTCCTTCCCAATAGCTTGGAGGAATTAGAATGACTCGATTTATCTCCTTCACTAGTAAATTGTTGCATATCTCAATATCTACGCTGTTCTATGCAGCCAATTGAAGAATTGAGAGGGGCGTGGGATATCAAATTTCCCGGATTCACCGAGCCACGCTAGGCTTTACGGGAAGTCCACCGTAAAATTGAGATGGTATTGAAATCTAACTATCACTGCAGTTCCCATAGTACTCTTGATATAGACTGTGTCATTTCTATACTCGCTACTCAGCTTCTCTCTCAAAAGCTCGTCAATTATCATCAAATCCATCTTCGCCAGCAAGTAAAGCGGGGTAGGTTATTCAAATTCGTCATGTAACAAGTGTTTGAATCCGCCACATGCAAGACATAGCATCGGCTTTGAAAGTCTAGGTACATTTCATACTCCGCAATGTCGCTATACCAAAGACTTTCACTGTCGTATTCATTCGAAGTAGAATCAACTAATTGAAAACAACATGGACAAGGATCCTCTTTCATACATTCAAGAACCCGCATCTATCACTTCTCAAGAAGTTTGTTGCTTCGCCCCAATACACATCCTCACTAGGTAGTCACTATGAAGTATGAACTTCCGTCCAAGAACCCCAACCATATAAAATCGACCCGGCATGCTTCTCTCCTCCCATCTCCATTATCAAGCCACTACAGTACACGGAGGCTTATGGGCTTGATGACTATGATCTTCAGATTAGTTCTCTGAAAGCTATTCCATAATAGCGCTTCATAATTGAAGATAGTTGCAATGTTCTTAGATTTACCGTATTCCCCACAGCAATCTGTCATATCCAAAGGATACGCGGTGAATGTCCTATATTTTTTGACTCGTGAATCATTCGGTCAAGTTAGATTCATCTTCTACACAATTTAGACAAATCCTGCTCATAATCACCATTTACAGGAGTTGAAGTAAATATCCAGGTGTATATATGGAGCACAAATAAGTATAAACTATCTACTCTAACCCCCCAAACATATTCTACCAACGAACATCAGAGTTTTCAGCAAGCCATCCTCGCAGTCTCCGAAATCCCATAACCACAACAAAGTTCCCGATATCTCGCCATCCGACTACACCACATACACCCCGAGGCCACCATCATTACTCCGACGCCCAATCATGGATATCCAAAACACATACACACACAGCTGTCACCACACAGCACACGGTCCCATCCTATCCAATCCACTTATATACCTTCCTCTCACAACTCACACACGTTCCCCGATCCCCCTTCAGAAATTACACCTCAAACTCCCGTTTCGATGTCCTTTCTGCGAAGACCCAGGGCTTCATGATGCTGTTCCTGCTGGGAAAGGTATACTCGTGATTATGAGTTCTCTAACGAAAGAAGAAGAGAGGAGAGAAATGGTAGAGAGCTCGTTTGAGTCAATGTTACTTCCATCGATTCCATCAATGTACTCTCCATTATACCCTCCATACCTCTCCGCCGTCTACTCAGGATTTTATCCTCCACCTCCACCCTTGTCGTTGGTTTCTCGATATTTTCCATTCTCCCCACCGTCTTACTATCCCCCATCTCCGAAAATTTCAAATACATGGAAAATAATACGCATTTGTGGAGTCGAGGACATCAAGAGCACAGAATGGACGCATGATCTCGAAACCCCAAATACAGACGATAAAAACGCAATCCAGCATCCCGAAAATATATGTGGCGAGCGACGACAAGACTTCACAGCCAAAAAAGAGGATTGGACCCAGATGGCCTGGATCCCTAGACCCGTTGGAGATATTGATGTGTCAACGATTCCACAGACCGGGCCAGCTGATAATTTTCATTCTTTCACCAATTCGCGCTTTCCTGCTCAAAATTTTTCTACTTTTTCCCGACAGAATCAGAAACTCCACATCTCACAATCCTGGAGAGGTACAACCGGCGAAGATTCAAACGGGTATGGATATCGTGGGAGAATACTGGGTCAGAGTAGATTACCCGGGATGATGAGTGAGCTGAGTGCTTTTCTGCGGAACTCGAGGGAGGAGGATGGGAATTGGGGGAGCAGAACAGATATGAGAGAAAGAATGAGGGAGAGGGGGGTGAGATGGGAGTGATGTGAAGGGAGAGGAATTCAGACTGGGTAGTGGGTGGATGATGCATGGAGTTGATAATATGGGGGTTAAAAAACGGTCGAGGATATTATAAATGCAGGCATGGAAGATGCTGCTCAGATTTGCGGCGAGACTGGGTTGGATATGAATAGAGACATAGAAAATCAGAGAATATCAACTCACATTGTGTTCAACACTGACCACTTTGCTTGCCATTAGTTTAGAGAATCTAAATTAGGATTCGCATCACAATTATAATGGCAGCATTTTTTCGAGTTTTTTTATTTAATATTTTAGTAACTATCTGTCCTTATCCTTCATTTCTCGAGACTGTTTCTCAAGAAAGTAGTCCTTCAGAATTTTTCTTCTAGCCAGCACCAATTTTGAATATTCGCACCATGTTTAAGGTATCTTATCACATCGTATTGTGTCAAATCATCAAATGTATCAAATGCATCTCTGTGTCTCTTTTATCCTTGTCGTGTCATACAAACTCAAATCCTCCCAGTAACAGTTGATGGGTGCGCCTTTTAGTGAACAGAAAAAGAAAAAGAAAAAGAAAAAGACAAAAAGACAAAAGTAGCTCAACATCAGTTTACGAGAGACATGCCGTTTCTCCACAATATGCAATAAAAACCGGGAGGGTATGCCCATCCTACATATTATACAAACATTTCCTGGTATTTTGTGAAAGAGAACGAACACCTAAACGCCATTCTCCCCATGATCTCGTCGCTCACGTCTCTGATTAGATCTCCGAGCCAGATCTTCAGAACCATAAACATCGCGAAAAGCCTCAAGTTGGCCAGTTAAACCACGTAACATTCTTGACATCTCGAAAGCCATCTCTTCATGTGCTGCTTCGCCTGTCAAGGCACGAACCGAAGGAGCATTGGGCAGATTTGGGAAATGTGCCATGGTATATGGAGCATTTGGATCGTGTGAAGGAGCAGACGTGGGAGGTGGTTGGATCGAAGCGGTTGCGTAGTCTGAGTCTGTATCATTGGCATCTGTATTGTAGCCCATAGTACTCTCAGCAGCTGAATCCGAAAAGTCTGATATATCAGCAATGTCACGAAGAGCATTACCAGTGCGAAGACGAGGTGGACGATCCGCGCGAAGTGGACGTGATGTACTTTCCGGACCAGAAGGCGTAGCAGAAGTTGGGAATGCTCCCATTTCTTCTGTAACATAGATGGAAGGTTCGCGTTCGTGAGATGTGGCGTAGATAGAAGGCTCGCGCTCATGAGATGGAGCGTAAAGAGAAGGCTCACGCTCGTGAGATGGAGCGTAAAGAGAAGGCTCGCGGTCGTGGGAAGGCACAAATAGGGAGGGTTCACGGGAGTGAGAGGGGGTATAAAGAGAAGGTTCACGGGAATGAGATGTAGGTTGATAAAGTGAAGCATGACGTTCGAGTTCAAACGGATTGACCGTAGAAGACGTTAAAGCTTGTCCAGAATCGCTTAGAATGGAAATAGCATCAGAATCTGCCGTTGATGGTCGACCAAAGTCTGGATTGAAAGCTGGTACTGGATCCGGCATACTCATATCTAGATCGATGAGAGATTCGCGGAAGGATAAACGAGGCATTCCAGTGTGGATTTCTGCAGGTGGAAGTCCGCCACCGAATCCACCTAGAGGCTCGGTTGGATGATGAACCAAACCAGGACGGCCACCGATGCCTGGAGTGAATGCTGGCTTTGGAACTTCTTGAAATGAAGGGGGAAACCTAGATACTTCTGGATCTGCCGACGCAGGCGGTACCATTGCCGGGAATTTCCATTCTCGTGTACGTCGATTCGGATTTATATCGGCTGGATCACTAAGTGCTGGTCGGCTGAAATCGGGTAAGGTGGTCATATAGTCTTCATCGGGCTCCTCTCGACCATGTCTTCCAGCTTTGATAGTATCCATATCCGGGAATACAGATATACCTGTTTCGGCATCATGCCCTCCAAGATCAATCATAGTATCCCTTATAGATGTTTGCGCTGTGTCATCACGTAAAGGTAAATCGGAACGAGATGGAACAGGTGGTAAATCTGAAGTTGGTGGAAGGTATGGCCGGCCATAATGATTGCGAACATTATCCTCGTAGCTTGATAGCGTGTTTGGATCAAAGATCTTTTCTAAGGGGCCACGAGATGGTGCTAGGGTCTCTGGTGGGGGACGGCGTCGCCCTTTTTGAGGTGGTGGACGGGCAGTCTCTTGAGGGAAGCCAGCATCAAATTCAACACCTGATCCATACACGTCGTAAACATCTTGTGCAGTTGATTTGCGTCTAACTTCTTGTTCGAACGCAGCAGTTGTACTAAAATTCCACTCATCATCGGACAATGCTGTGGATGAAAACTCTGATGGTGCTTGCGCTCCACCTAACATGAATAGAGATTTTCTGCTTCCCCCATGATCTTCCCACAACTTAAATGCCCTGACGAGATGAGAAAGTGAGGACATTGGATATTTTGAACTAGTATTAAGAATGTAATGATGATTCTGGACTCGGTCAATGGAAGGGCGTTCACTTGGGAATTCTTCCAAGCAGAAGGCAACAAGGTCTCTTAGTTCGTCAGAATAATCTCCCCCTTCAAGTCGTGGAGCATGCTGTTTTATCAGAGAGCCAAGTCGATCGAATGGAAGTCGACTCATGGCGTTAGGCGGAAGACCAGTGGCGATCTCATACGCCATACAACCGAAAGCCCATATATCAACTTCTTTACCATAGCTGGGGACAGCGTCAAATAACTCTGGCGCCATCCAATGTGGTGTGCCAATGACGGTAGATCTCTTATCAACCTTTGTTTCCATGGTTCCAGCAACACCAAAGTCGCAAAGTTGAACTGCACCTTCTTCAGTAATAAGAACATTGGCGCACTTGATATCTCGATGTATGATGCCAGCCTCGTGTACCCATTTGATAGCCTCGGCGACCTCGCGGAGTATCGGTATGATCCATTTTTCTTGTAAGCCTCCAGGAGCAGTTGGCTTCATAAGAGTAGCAACACTTCCTCCACCACAGTATTCTGTTATCATCCACATGGCTTGTCCAACTGGTAACGCTTCGATGACATGATTAATATTCCGAGCTTTGTTTTCACTCAAAGTCTTTAGAGCGGTAATCTCTTTCAAGAACTCGGCATAGGAATTGGCGTTCTTTGGGTTGATCGTATCGCTCTCCTCGATGTCGATGATCTTCACGGCCACAATAGCAGCCGATACCATGTCCTTTCTATCTGGTGTATTAGTATATTGATCAAGTAACCAGGAACGAAAAAAAATATTACCCTTTATAAACACGTCCAAAACTTCCCTTTCCGATTAATTCTATCAACGCATATTTTGGTGGTTTCTTTCCTACTTTAGTTGCTGCTTCGATAACAGAAGCTTGCATGAGCCGTGCATCCTCAATAGCTTTTGTCTTGACCGAAACTGGTTCGGAGTTTCTGACTTGGAGCTTGTCCATTTCGGCAAAATGGGCTCCTAAAGCTACGAGGCTAACGTCTAAAAAAGAAAGCTGCGAAAGAGGTATATTTGGACTTCCAGGTGCAACTTTTGTTCCTGGAACTGGAAGACGAGATGCAGAAGAGTTTCCTTGTCTGTCTGCAGTCCTTTGGGAGCTATTAAGTGGGATGAAAGTTGATTGTTTGCTTACGACTGATGTCTTTGGCAAATCGCGTGGTGTAGGAGTTATTTGACAGGAAGAGGAGGGAATCTGTCGAGGACGCGAGCTTATAAGCGATTCTTTGGCGGTGGATGACTTATCTCGCAACCGGTTCTGCAGGGGTCTCAACCCAGAAAGAGGTGATTGAGTTCTATAACTTTGTGATGAAGTAGACGGTGTTTGAAGCTCTCTCTGAATTTTTTTGTATTGAGATATCTGGGAGTGATACGCCACCTGAGTTGTTGGAGCCGCCGAATCTTGTTGATGAGCGTTAAGAGGCGAATTGAAGCCAAAGTTACTGGCGCCTCTAGAAACTGGAGAGCCGGTGGAGATGTTGCGATCGCTTTGAAGTCTATCCACGCGCAACTTATCGTGTTCGACAGAATCAGGTGCAACGAGAGTGTGCGATTTCTTGACAGGATTGATTGAAGTAGGAGCTTGCAGTTGTCTAACAGTACCGACTGTTGAGAGATTAGAAGTGGTAATGCCTGGATTATAGTCAGGACGACGATTAAGTGATGTACACGAAGTAGAGAGTTCAGGCTCTGCAGCTTGAAGTTCTTCTGATCTCGATTCTTGACGAAGATTACCGTCTGGATAGCGTGTCGCGCAAAGGGTTGCAAATTCTTGCTCTTCAAGACTGTTTCGATCTCTACCACTCAAGAGCAAGTATCTAAGACGAGCGGTCCCGACTGGATTATGATCTGGTCGACGAAGCGTAAGCGAGCGTTCAAACCTGGCTTGCTTTTCTGCTTCCTTCTCTGCCCCCCTCTTCTGATCCTCTTCAGATTGATTTGAATGAGCTAGAGATTCTTGGAGAACTTCACGAGCTTTCCTTCGCTCTTCTCTGCGTGCTTGTGCCCGCTCGAGATTAGCAGCAACTTGAGCGTCGTCTGTCAATGTTGAATCTCGATCAATAGGTATATTCTGAGAAAATTTCTCGGAGCTTGAGCTTCGGAAATAAGCACGATAACTATCCTCCAGATCACTATCTTCAGCAGCGTTTTCAGCGAGCGTATCAGAATTGATCCACTTGTCGGATTCTTCCCTGAAATATTGTTTGCTAATAGAAGAGGCCGACGAAACACGTCGTGAATGACGATTTAGTATAGACTCAGCTTGTCGAGGGGTAGTGAATTGTTCGCTTGGGCGTCGGGCAGATTCACTAGATTTCTGAGTTTCTGCAGTTTTTGAAATCTGAAGACTGCGTATAGATGAATTCTGACACTTAAACCCAAATGAACTTCGAGACTCGCGCAATTTCGAAGCACTACCGAGATGATTGTTTCGTAAAGAGGGAGTGGTAGAAGTTGGTGGGGGTTGTTGTAAAGTTCTCGCTGTCGGAAGTGAATACTCCGGTCCTTGAGTTGGGATAGCACTAGAGTAACCGCTAGAAAGCAAATAATTTGGTCTTTCTTGGAATTTAGACTTCCTCGCACTTTCCGAAGCTGTGAATCCTTTTCCTTGAGGTTTGGGTAGATTTGAGCCACGTTCTTCTCGAGTAAGCGGCGGTGCGTTTGCAGTCACGTGAGAAGAAGTATTTGCACCGTTTGCTGCGTCGTCTGCTGAACTACTTCCGCTGCTGGGTTTTCTTGTTCTATGGAATCCAGCTACAAGTGGAGAGTTATCAAAATCTCGTAGTACGGCGTCATGTGCTAACAAGACTGCTTTGTTGGCTCGCACCGATGCTTCAATTTCCCTCTGCCTTCGCTTTTCCGCAGCCTCGTCAGACTCGGTAGCAAGAAATTCAGGTGTGGGTTCAGTATAGTTGTAATTGTAATCGATCTTTTGCAAGGGGGTAAGAGCCTTGTGGTATGGTTTTGAGGTTGACTTTTCACCGTCGTCTTTTGGTGTATCCTCACTCTCAGACCTCGAACCCGAAGTATAGCCGCCGCTTGTGCTTGTTACAGGATTGGGGTTGTGCTCCTCCTGTGGCGTAACCTGATCAGGAGTAATTGACAATGCACCAGTACCGGTATCAATATGATTCTCTTGTTCTTCTGGTTCCTCCCTTAACGTGTGATTGAAACCTGATGTGTTGTACCCACCACGATAATAATCAAGAGGAGCAATGTGTTCACCGGCAATTAAACCCAAAGGATCGTAAACCCAATCTTCACCTGGATCCTCCTATGAACAAATAAAGTCAGTAACTGGTGAACTGTTGTGCTGGGCCCCTTGGAGCATGCAAGATGATTCCCAGACAATAGATGCTGCAGGGAGCCAGGACAATTGATTTGAAGGGTAAACAACAAGGGGGTAAATCCTCCAAGAAACGAACGAAGACTTACAAATGATGTGACAACGTTATCAAGAATTCCTTCCTCCTCTGCTGCTCCTGCTGACTTTTCTAAAGATTTGAACAGGTTAGAGATTCTGGATCTTAACTTGGACTGTGGCTTCGCAGTGGATTCGCCAAGATCATCCTGATTCTGCAAGTGAGACAATGTTAGTCAGCAGTGGCGGCTATATTTTAGTTTGATCTGCAAATGTCAACGTCAAACTTACTTTGAGATCACCATATTTGTTGCGATGCTCTTGTTTTTTCTTCCTCAAGAACTCCATCTTCTCCTCATGCGCCTCTGTACGTTGCTCTAAATCAGTGCGATATTTGGCAAGTAGTGATTGATTGTGTGCAATGAAATTGTGTGAATTTGACGCATTTAACGTATTAATGGCAGGAAGCAAATTTGGCTGAGATAATTTTCTCAATGGTGACTTTGTGGGAATCGGCGGCGCCGGCGTATCCGAAGCAAGTAGCAAATTTGTGATTTTATCATAAGAGGCAGGGCGAAATTCGGGAGTTGAGCTAGCGTGTTTAAGGAAATTGTGAACACGCGAATCTGGAACACACAGGCTTTCGTTCTTTACACTATCTTCACTGAAAGCTTTGGATGTGTCGTCCAATGTTTTTGAAATGCCAGAATGGACTTGCGCAATGTTCCTATAGCTTTCGGTTGCCCGGGTACCATCTCTCTGTGAGAGGGTAAAATTGCCTTGCGATGCAACATCTTTCTCTTTGATGTCTGGACTTTCTTCCTCTCTCAAACCTACAAGAAGAAACGCTTGGAGCTCATCTTCAATATGAATACCCGATCTTTTGGATCTTTCCCCCGAGTTAATTCCAGCCGGACGCCATGTTTTTGTTGAATCAACTTGTGGTTCTAATACTCGATTGTGATCAGCAACAGTTCCAGTCAAGGCGATATTGCGAATAGTTTTGTCGCTGGCTGTTTCTGTAATGTCTGACGTATCATAATCTGTTTCCGGAATGGTAAATTGTGTAACGGAATCATTGAATGTCACCGATTGCTTTCGATGTGGCCTTTCAGACGAACTGAGATTACTTCGGTGACGAGGTTTGTACGGCAGGACCTCTGTTGATGAGCACGGTGTAGTTTGCCCAGCCAAATTCTCCAATGAAGTATGGGCGCTATAGTTCAATTGATGGGGATTCTGCGTAAATTTCCCGAAATTATTGTTCTGCATGTACAATTGCGCCTGTTGCGCTGGTAGAATTTCCACATTGGGTGTTTTATTAACGCCAATGGGCATCAATTCAGGTCCACTCCTCTTCGATGGCCTTGAAAGCGTAGGCTCAATGAGCGCTCGACAGGCTACTGGGGGTGCTCGGCCAATCTTTGGATCATTCACCTGTTCTCTCCCTTCCATTCGTAGTCTCTGTTCGGTTGCCTTTCTAAGCTCATGCTGGAGTTGTGCCTGTTCGACGTGCTTGTCACGTTCCTCCTGAGTCATTGCGAGGACTTGGAACTCGCCGCCCAAGCATGCCCCCGTCTTGTCCAGCTCTACTTTACCATCTAGCTTCCTTGCCGGCGCGATCGGTGGAACGTACCTTTCTGGCGCTGGCGTGGGCTGCTCACTTCTAAAACGAAGTTTCGGAGTCGCGACTGGTTGACTTCGATCAATCGGTTTTTGGATATTTTTCTTTTTAGGTTTGAACAACCTCCTGATTTTGGCCTTCAAGGGATCTTTATTCCGGATCTTGTTGTTCAAACCTTTAGGAAGGTACGCGAAATTTGGATCGGCATTTTTGTTTTCCTTCCGCGCTGCTTTCACTGCTTTTTTTCTCGCTGCCTTTTCCTCCCGGGTTGGCCCAGGAGATCCTTCGATTGTAGTACCAGAGACTGAGGAAGATCCAAATGAAACGACTGTGGACGCTTTCGAGCGCGTTGACTTCAAAGAAAGCGCTTTGATTGTGGAAGCAATCGTAGTTGTTGACGAATTCGCCTCAGAAACGTTTCCGATTCTATCTTCATTTGTCTCTCTATTCGAAGCGCTCGACCTTGGGTTCGAAGTGCTGGCTCCAACTGCACTTCTTCCATAACCAGAGTGCCTTATTTGAGAGCGCTTTGCAAGCGAAGGTTTCCGTTCAACTGGTCTCCGAGGCGCCATTGGCGCGGTCGCCTTAGCAGGATAGATTTTGAGATTGTCGCAGGTGTAAGGTAATTGATTGACGTTTCGGCAGAGAGTCTAAAGCCGGGGAGCTGAGATGAAATTTGGCAGAGGGGGAAAGGCTATATTCCGTGAGTAAATGATTGACTAGCTGAGTATGGAAAGATATAAAAGGATTGATCAAATGAAATTAAGATGGAAGCGTTTAATTGAGGAGATATCTGTACAGGATTGAAGCTCAATGTTGAAAGTACCTAGAGTCAATGCGACTTGTTCCCCATATTTTCATCTTAGTCTTGGTCCAGTTTGGATGGTAGTAAACAGTGGAAGTACCCGGCATCGGAATATCTTCCCTCCCGCAGTCTTCGAGCAGCCATCAATATTTTCACAAAACTGTTTCCCAACCCATCTGGAACAGCTTTTTTTATACAAAGAATGAGTGGTATTTGGCCTTTCTTTCTAATATTTCCAGGATGGATGGGACTTCTGGGTGTCAAGATATTCCCTTTTCTAGTTCCTCATGATCTGCTCATGGTCTACTCAGCCTTATGACACTTGACTGCACTTCTAGCAGCATGCCCAGACCAAAAGCGAGTCTAGGCTCCCCACCTCAGGCCTAGATAGACAGGGGGGTTCGAGCAGGGTAATATAGCACACAATCAATATTCAATATTATTATTAAATTTGACTTTCTCGAGTTTGTGATTGGGGTATTACCCGAGCAGAGTTTTCCAAGTGTTTCTAGAATTACAAAAAAGTTGGGAACCTGTTGCTGAGGTTGCTGTGACATCTCTACTCCGAACTTACACAATTGACAGTAAAAATCCAACATCAACTTTTTTGACAAACTTCTTTAAACAAGTCTTCAACTTTGTCTATCTTGTCAGTAACACTCAATGTTTTTATTCTTTAAAGTATTACCTTTTGTTCCAACGAATGCTTGCTGTCTAAGAGGTTGCAAAGACGATACAGATCTACAACAACGAGTTTGCAGAGTAGACAAATTCAAGATCAAGACTGTTACTTGTCAGTATTTCTTTTATTCTTTCATCATGCCTTTATCCTTTTACCTACTTCTTAACTGCAAAGAGATTCTGTTCTCCTTGTTGTGTATAAGTTGTAAATCGTTTGTCTGAATTCGTTGACAGGAAGCTTTTTGAGCTGCTCTGTTGTACATTCACCTCAATCCCCCCCCTCACAAGATCCTTCTTCACTATTTCTAAGTATCAGATGAGCAACCGTCTGTTGCTTTTGTCAATCCCTTTTTTGCTGTCAAGTGAAAAATATACGCTGTCGAATCTGCTATTGTGTTAATTGCTTATCTTCTTCCTTTTTGCTCAAAACACACTAAATCTTACTCAACTTATACGACACTTACTGACTTGAAGAAGATTATCAATCAGAATACTCAGAAAGTCACACGATAATGCAAAACATCCTTGAAATCCCCCAATCTTTTAAGTCCATCGATCTTCTACTGCTACTGCTGGTGAACTAGCAAATACAACACCAGAGCTTGGTGAGTTCTTCCTTCAAACTGCAGCTAGCCAACACGCACTAATGTAACCAAGCTTATAATGGGTCATTTTACTATTCATGACATGATAATCTGTTGCTCATGACGATAGCCGCTGGTCGGTCATGCTTGTAAGACCTCAGATCGTAGTAAGCTCCCTTTCAAGTTACTTCCTATGACAGCTATTAATACAACTCACAGTGGCATCTTCAATCGAGTCGATCACTTTGATGTTCTTGCTGCCCGCCTTTGTGTCGGCAAAGCTCGCAAGATATCATAATGTGGTACTTATCCCTATTCAAATTCCAACATCTTAATAACTTCTAACATGAATTACAGTAGCTCGCATGGTCAGGATGATACTTGTGCTTTTTAAGTCAGCTGCTGGTCAGTGAAGTTTGCAAAATGCTGAAGCTTGGTAAGTTTTTCCGTCAAGTTCTGCCTGATCACAATTGCTAACATAAATTACAGTTTTCCTCTTTACGAATACCAAATCGATAAGGCTTTGGCTTATGGTCTGCCTGCTTTTGGCAAAACATACCTTTCAGGTTCTCAGGACCTCTGACTTCGAAGACAAATATCCTATCATTGACCTAAACAGCATCTGTATTTACAGTGCATGGTGTTCATCTTACAATCCTCGCTGCTTCTTATCGAAATTTCTCTCATCGTTAAAGTCTCGGATCCTCATCCTCCTGCTCATCACAGTAAAGCAAGGTCTTTCAGGCCTACTTGCTGTTTGATGGACAAGGCTGAGATTTTACAAGTGGTAGTGGCTATCTTAATGACATTTCAGGAAGGGAAGAATAAGTGCCGACGGCTACACATTCACTACATTGTTCCCACACTGCCAACACCTGTATGCCAACAGTACTCATCATCTCACACGTCCTTCCCGTCGAAAAGGAATGTATAGAGATTACTTTTACCTCTCGTATCTACATCTGCTTCCAACCTTGCAAAAGAATTGTGGCGTACATGAGCATTCATGATGTTCTCAGGATCAACTGGCAAATCACAGATTCATTAGTTTTGGTCCTTGACCCAATCTCAGGCATTTCATGGCCGCTATTCTCCTTCCTCTTCGCCGAGGAGGGAGACTAGCAACGTGCATTGACCGAGATGCAAGGTGTCTATTGTGGGAATAGACCGCGGCTCCTTCCTCCCCGCCGAGGAAGGAGACCAACAGCGTGCCTTAACTGCAATGCAGGGTTTCTATCGCGGAAATAGACCCATGCGCATTGGTACTGCAACACCAAAGAACTAGGTGTCTATTGCGGAAATAGACCCATGCGCATTAGTACTGCAACACCAAAAAACGAGGTGGTTTCCTCTTTCTTTCCAGCATCTGGTCCATGTCCAACCTAGCTAGGTGGTTATTACCGCACTCAATGGTCATTCTTTGGGTGATCTGATGAAGCATTTACTCTGCGGAGTCAACCAGCAGCATCAATCAGATACAGGGCTATGCTGCTGGTCACTCCAACTGCCAAGTAAGTGGAGAGAACTCTCCTCTTTCCAGCATTTGGGCCAGGCTACTGAAATGGCCATCAACCAAATGCATGGTTGTTCTGTCCGGGCCTCTCCAGCCTAGCAAGCTGTGATGCCATCAGTCATCAGTGTGGACGACCGTTTCTGAATACCTCTTCAAACGGGCTGCTGTGCCGTGGTCCCAGGCACAGCGGAGAGAGCTGGGCAACTTGTTACAAGACAAGGGCAGGGAATTTTCTCCCTTGTCTTCCAGCAGCAACAGACAAAAGTTGTTTCTGCTCCTGCTTTTGCTTTCGTCTTGTGGCTTCATACCAACAGTCAAGTTCTGGGAGGGACGGGGAGACATGCACTCCACTAAAAGTTTTTGTCTTCCGCAGAGGTGCTATGCACTCCTCCACATGTGTGGTCCCTCCCGGGGTCAACCACCAAGTCCAGCTCGGATCCCCTTCGATTGTACTTATTGCAATGACCACCATCACGCTACTCGGAGATATATGATGATTTGGTAAGCCTGCAGCCCGGAATGACGTTAAACTATAGTCTGTGTTGGAGTTGGTTGGGAGCATTCTGAATGCATTCAAATCTCTTTCAAGTCCCACGAATCTTTTGGTGGCCAGGACAGATAACCTCAATCAAACGCATGACATAACCAAGCTCACCAGGTTGATTAGACTTCATTGGCTACGGGGATATGGCTGTGTCAGGAGTTTTCTTGAAGTTGTCTGTCCTGGCCACAGAGAGATTTATGTTACTAGGGAGTAATTTGAAATCCTGTTGGAGGGAAAGGCTTGAAGAGTGAAGTGGGGGTTGAGTGGCTGGCGGTGTGGGTGTGTCACTGGTTGTTTGAGTATAATTTTGTATATTAGCTCATCACGTAGGAATATACTTCATTTTATCTTAGCCGCCTTCGGGTGTGCCTGGTGTTGTGATGTAGAGGTGTGATGGTGGTGTTGATGGCATGTGGACTTTTATTACTTTCTTGGTAGGTCGTCATCACAGAAAGAATTTGACAATAATGTATGCATTCAAAGCTAACATAACAGCAGCATTTTACGTGGACTCGATTTCAGGTAATGAGCAAGGCGGTCCACATTCTTGGCTTCCTGCTCAAAAGAGAATGGCTGCAATTGTACAAGCCTTCGTCATCGAAGACGAGCTCAAGTCTGATGCTTCTTTTGCTTTTCAAGAGGTCGCGCAAACTACCTCTCCTGTTTGTTCCGGGGACGATCCCAGAACAACTCCGGACCACTTGGTCCTCGCCATACCCACAAGCATAAAGATAGTAAAGATATCAACAAAGCATGGTTCCTGCGGTGCCTGCTCCCGAAGATGAGCTACAACGCCAAAGATGATTCGTGACAAGACCGTCGGGAGTCTCGCCGGAATAGACAGAGTTCGCCGCCATGTGCCTACAACCAGTAGGGCAAATGCTCTCTGAATCTCCAAAGCGGCACAAACTTAGCTAGAGAACTCCCGCCCAGGCGCAGATGGCAAGGTGTAAAGGCAAAGAAGTCTCGAGGACGACAAGTAAGTATCAGAATCTCTTCTCGTCATGCAATTTGTTGACTGAGATAGGACCTTCAACCAAACGACTCACGAGCTTCTTCAAAACAAGCCTGGTCATACCTGCAATTTTCACAGAATCTCGTTAAACAAGTCAGCGGTACGTCCAACTTTCCGCGTACCTTATCCCATAGCTCGCATTTGATCATTGAACAACGTACAAAGTACTAATATTACTAGAAGTAAAAAGCTTGCAGATTAATAAAGAAAGACGATCGAATTCAGATGATGAAGAACGAGAAGAAGTTGCATTTGACTTTAATCGGCCAGATCGGTAGCTGCGTAATGAATATTGATCGTGTCAATACTCATCGTGTAGCTATTGATCTGTCTCATTAAACTCATATGGGGCTCCGTCTCGCTCTTCCTCGTTGGAATTCGATCTTCTCTCTCTGTGTGAATTATTTCGAGAATGGGTGTGGACAATAAATGATTTATTAATTTGTTGGGTCATTTGTTAAGAAATAGAGAGAGGAGGATGAATCCCACCTCGTGGTTCTTGCATGATTTACCAAAGCAAATCACAGCGAAAGCGCGCTTCTTAGCGTAGATAAACAATAAAGCGTGAATAATTCAAGTTTGAGAAGTGTCAAATCTCAAGGTGGAACCTATAGGATGGTGTTGTCTTCTTAAGTAGCCTCTATAGTAATACACCTTGTTTCCCCTAGCCGCCCTCAGGCGTGCACCTTTTGACATGGTTCTGTGAGTGATATCATATCTTGAGGTTGAGAAGCGGGCATTACCTCTGCGCTGTGAAGGGGGCTAGTTTGGTACGTTATTTCCCCTGCTATTCCCGATATCTTTGACGTTATTGCTAACATCTTCAAGACAGTTATTTGCATGGGACTTGGAGGGAGAAGAATTATTTCTGAAATTGGGAAAGAGGAGTGTTGGGAGCGCCGTCGAATTGCACTGTCTCTGATTTCGTATCATGCATGTCAAATTTTGGTCGGAGACCTGAAAGGTATGAATTTTCTATGCACTTGAGGTCTCGATATTGTACTAACGTGAGAATTAGTCACTTTACATGACTTTCTTAGAGATCCACCTAAGAATCCAGAAAATCATCAAAGAGGCAATCGAGGTCAATCAAGATGGCTCACCGTAGGAGGCTAATTAAGGAATCTTCTCTCCATAATTTTCAAGAAAAAGAACGAGTCGCAGAGGGAGTGGGTACCTTTAATGAGCCATCTGACAGGTTCTACCAAGACTTGAATCGATCAAAAGTATCATAATAACCACTCGCTCTAACAGTGGCTATCGATTTTTCCGATCCAGGCCTTTAATTTGGACTACTAGCTCTTTAATGGAGTCATTCTAGTCCAACGGAGCGGCTGCAACGCTGGATACCAAAAACAGCAACAACCATCTGGTGGTCAGATTGCCAATGGTGGTCTCAATACCTAAGCGTTTTATGCTTCAATGAGTATTCTTTCCCGCGGATTTTCAAGGGACGTCGAGAGCGCACCGGACCCGACAGATACCTCAACATCTGTCAATCGTTTGACATCAGCCCTGGACAGACTACATCGCGCTTAGTCTTTCTCAATGGCTCTTCCGTCTCTCGCCAATACTCATCAGTATCCCCACCACTACGAAAGCCTAGCCGATCTGATTGAATTTGAGAAACCCATCTTTCTCAATCTCAACAGCAGCTTGTCACAAAGTTTCTGGAGACAAACCAGATTTTACCTTTTGCGGCCTCTGCCCTCAGCAGAGGTTTACTGAACGCTACGAAAAAAAATCTGATTTGTATATTCTTTCCAGCAAGTGGGCCAGGATCATGACTGATCCATGTGTTGGTTCTCCTTTCTCCTCGGCTGAGCGATTAGTGGATGGTGTTTCCGACGCCATTCAACTGAATATCTACTCAATCTTGTCACCACACTTGCCCTTTCAACCCAAATTCTCAATTTGAAGTCCACTGACGACTCCATGGAGATGCTTTGAACGCTTGACGCCCAAGAAAATCTCACATTGTAACCAGCAGCTACTGGCGAGATGCCATATGGCTCTGGTCCTGCCAGTCGGATAAAGTCACGATAAGCTTCTTCGCAGCTTTTGCTGTCACTAACAGGAGTTTTTCCGCTCTAAAAGAGGATCGCCACGGGACCAAAATGTCGTAAAACTAGATCACACCACGGCTAACTGCAAGTCCCTCTTTGATCAATTGGGCAAATGTGAATTGACGAAACCCAACGCGGTACTACGAAGCAAAAGCGGAACGTGCGATCAAATCAAACAGTCTCTGGCCCGAGCAGAACTTCCAACCGGATACACATTAATGACTCCAAAGATTTTTCCAGGAAGTGGGACGCGCTAGCGACCAAATCAACCAACCTTTTGGCAATTCTCATTCTCACATCGGAACACTGTCAGATGGAGAGAACTCAAGGAAGAGAAACGAATGGCGATGATAGAAGTAGGACTTATTTTTATTGCAAGTCCTGCCACTATCATCATCATTTCTTCTTCTTCCTTGGAGTTTCTTCGTTTGGTTGTTGTCTACGCATAGAATATTGAATAAGTTATTTTTCAACCCTCAATACCAGCCTGTTACTTGGCTTCACAGATCGAAATTGATACGCCCATAAACAATCTCAGTCTCGATTCCACCGCCTTTCTCGCCGCAAAATCAATACAGTTGGTGTGCTGACTGACAAGCTATCCTCCAGATACAACACCACTTTCCTATAAAACTTGGCAGCAAGCTAGTATCGTGACAAATCAGCACTTTTGCTCACAATATGACTTGAATTTCCAGAGAGTTCAGACAGAGAAAGCCAGAGACGAGCCTAAACGGGTAGAAGAATTACATCTATTGACACATTCCACATCTGGGTCGACTGAGCACCAAACCGTGGCTGGTGAATATGGCACCAAAACCCCAAGAGCGATTACCAAGACGACGACAGATGTTCCTCTAGTAAAGCTAAATCAAACACTCTGCTGCTATCAGCCATCCCAAGCACGACATCAAATAAACTACCGAGTCCCTTTCCCACAAGTTCAAAAACTTCAGCTTCTCAGCCATTCTAAATACAATCCCACCCCTTCCTCATCGTCTCATCTCCCCAACAAGCATAGGTATTACCTCCCTCCCTTCTCTCATTCGCCAAAACTGGAGACCTGCTGCGGTTATGCGTACGAATACGAGCTAGCTTTCGAGCCATTTCTTCAACAACCAAGCTCCCTATGCTTAATCTCCTGTTCTCTCGGGATCTGATTCCCTGAGAGAGCTTGTTGCTTGGCTAAGGCAGAGGAAGCTTTGTCGAAGATCTGTGAAGATAATCGAAAATTCTCCGTCCGCGAGGACTTGTAACGAGAGATATTACTACGTTCAATTCGCTCACATGAGAGACGTCTCGCCTCCCTCGAGAAAATTCAAGAAACCAAAATGTGTTTTCCCTGCCGGGACTAAAGTACTTTCACATGTCTTCACATGACTCTTTCTCAGCGGCTCGCAGGAAAAATGGTCGCCCACCATCTCTCTCGATTTCCAACCTATCCAGCATGCGATTGGTAAATCGTGAGTTCGAAGCATGCGTTTCTGAATACCTTTTCAAATACGTGGTCGTACTTCTGTAATATTGTACTTAAGAATCCCGGTCGCACTATTTCTTGAGCCTTCAATTGGTGTATTTGAATCTCGGCCACCTGGAAGCGTCAACTAAAGGGGACGTTAAGAATGTAAAGGAGTGGAAATAGGAGGGATCCATCTGTTCTCGACCACAACGCGTTTGGTTTGGTCTTGCTCCCTGGGAAAGTTTCCAAGGCATCGGAGAAATTATGGTGGTGTGGTGTCCGGGAATCATTTATGATGGAAGTGTAAGCGGAGGGGGAGAGGGGGTAATAGGGATTGCTGTGTGCAGAGGTGGTGATAGTTTTGGTGTTGATCGTGGAAGAAGGTGGTATTCCTTTAACTCCCGACAAGGGGTTTGCCTTTGCCTTTGGCTCGAAAATGTCAGAAAGATGTAAACAGAGGCCTCAAAGTATTTTATCAATTAAAAAAACGAATCCTCAAACAAACGAAAAGAACCCCAAATGTGAACTTATGCAGGTGATGAAAATGCGATTCCTCTGATTTAGTCCATGGCAATGTCGTGATTTCAGAGACCTATGAATCTGTAACTGAATACGGAATCTCGGAGCTATTATTCATTTCTCTCACATTAGAAGTCTGTCTGATTGACGCAAAGTTTCAATAATGTGCGTAGAAAAAGATTTGAACGTGCCAAGTAGTGCGGTATATCGAGCCGACAAAGTTCAAATTTATGATGGTATCTTCTTGCTCTTCGCGACTTTATAAATATTGGCTTGAAATAGTGACGTTGGGTTCTTCTTGATCTCCCTTGATGGACAAATCTGAGGACATGTCCTTGGAGAAATATTCGTGGAGAAACAGAAAGAATATTTTCGCTCCGAAATCGCAACCTGCGATCGCTGGATTTGGACGGGCTCAAGCTCGTGATTCGAGGTCATCAAAACACAAGATCATCTTACGGACCTGAGAATATTGTCAAAAGAACTAACAGTCAACAAATTTATGCATGGAGGAAGAGAACTATTAATGCTATCAGAGAGAATGTGATCTCGACGCAATATACGTAGAAGAATGGAGAATAGCGACTGAAGATGCGGGGTTAGCGTAACGCCCAGGTTTTGATCAGGAAGGGGACTCGGAATGAAAGCGATGAGGATACCTTTGGCATGAATCGAAATGCGGAAGAAGAGATGAAGTGAGGTGGGTATTTCATCATGGTAGTAACTCCGCGTGACGAAAGATGTGGAGGGATAGCTTGAAGATACACGGAAGAAGTGAGAACCGGGAAGGTTGAAGCGCGGAATAGAGAAGCTGTAACGAATCTAAGAAGTGTGCATGGAGAGAGTAATATCAAGCAAGAAATTTTGAGAGAAAAAGAAAGAAAAGAGCAAATATCCGAAGCGGTGTATCTCAAGCGTCGTAAGAAGGAAGAAAACGATACAGTCAAAACGCTAGAATTATCGAAGTGAAATCATCATCATCGTCAACGAAACACAGAAGTTAGATTCCAATTCCATCACAGAATCGATCAGAGGAAGTTAAAACAAAAGCTCTCGTACCATCGAATCGTTATTCAACTCACGCTCGAGCTTGAACAAAAATAATATTCGTCTATCCATCAATGCGGAGAAATGTAACGGCCTAAAGAAAGGAAAGGAGAAGAATAAATAGCCAACATCTTAGCAGGTAGCGGAGTATTGTATCAAGAAACATCAAAGACATTCCAAAACGGTCAAATATGAGAACCATCATGCGAGCGAGGAGTTAGTATGCACTACAAAAGGAGGAGTAGATTCTAATTGAGAGGAATATACAATGAGTAGTCTTCGAGAGCGATAGGTGATATGTAGAAGCAAGGGGGAATGATGGGGATGGGGATGAGGAGCGAAGAGAAGATACAAAGAAAAAAAGAAAAAAAGAAAAAAAGAGGTAATACATGATTCTTCATAAAATAACTTAACTTACTGCACACAACGATTCAAAGACCAAGAGAGAGTAAGCAAGCAAGCAAGAGATGATATAAATCCCTACAACTTCCTACAACTCCCAAAAAGATCAACCCGCTAAGCATACAAACCAAATCCACAAAAATAATATCAAATTCTATCCTTCACTAGAAACCACATACCCCATACCGAAGAGCGAAACAAAACATCGAGAGAGCGAGTCATCAGTCAAGTAAAGTGAGATAGCGAGGATAAAACAATCCCCTCCCCCACCTAAAAAAAAAGAAAGAATGAAAGACATCATCTAGAAAAAAGAAGAAACTACCTGCATCACTTGAAGATGAAAATCACTAAATGTAACTCTAACGGAAGTAATTGATTGACTATATAGAAAAAGTAGGACAGGATATCAATGAGTCAATTTGCATGGTGACCGAGTGATAAGAAGAAGAGTAAGGAGAAGAAGAAGAAGAAGAACGAACCATTCAAGCAATGACAACCCTAAAAGTTTCAGGGGCTTTCAATTTCAATATATCTGCTATTCAGAGGAAAGACCATCAAGACAATCAATACGTACCAGATTCCAGAATAGTATCCACAAAACGAAGGAGCGACCTAGTATATAGTAACGAGTTCAAACATCCCCCTACCCAGTTGTCTATCCACATTGTTTCCAACAGAGAATCACATATATCCCAACCCACCTAATATCACCCACCTAATTTACAACCAATTCAATCTAGTAAAATAAACATTATATATGTTTCAATTACCAATCTCCCTTTCAAAGCTTCTGAAAGCTGAGCAAACCCAAACCCGAGAACTCAAGTGCTAAAATTCTCGATAATTTCTCAATTTCGCTTCCAAATTTCCTCTATCAGAAGTCCCAAGTTCTCGCAGAATCTCAAGCTTAGCCTATCAAGTAAGCCATACCAAATTCCACCCTTGAATATTTTACATCCTCATCCGCGCAAGTCAAAATAGAATACATAGCCCTTGAGAGCCCCCAACAACACTTTCACCAATACCACCCAAAGTAAAACGGCATTTTTCGACAAATCCTTTACACCATCCTAGTGAGATAAACCAGCCCCCAAGAGCACCAATATGCCCAATGCGCCAAAGATCAAAAGATTTGCAAATTATTGTTCTCATCCCTAGTCAACTCATAATTCCAGACAATATGGTCATAACCCTGCATAATGAGTCTCCACCTCTTTGGATTCTCTCCAGCGTTCAATTCAATCCCATGACCATTCTGAATCGGAGAAACGGCCAATCCAAGGAGTGGAGCATTAGACCCTTGATAACCTCTGTAAACATGGTCATTCTTAGTGCCAGGTGGAAGAAGACCTTCGATACGAAAGGTGGGTATAGGATCTGAATTGGAATCGACGTGCACCGTTGACAGCGTCAGAAGAGCTGCTCGACCAATTTGAGAAGCAACAACAACAAGCGATAGTTCCGGTATTAACGCCATCATATTGATTCGAGTAATATTATGGAAAGTCTCCCCAAATGTACTCGGCGATTCATGCCCTTCGAAGCACTTTGTACATATGGTTGCAGGCATGCGTGGTGAAGAAGGCACGAGTTCAATGCTGTCCATCCAAGTTCGAAGGATTACAACTCTGTCACTTGTGTGAGAAGTAGAATCAATGTGACAACTTTTTAAATCGCTTATGTGGTTCATGAAATTATTAGATCGTGCAGATCGTATCGTTTGCGGAGTGGAATACATGTGTCGAATCAACCCCCCTAATCGATCTGGCGGCGAGTTACTGAGCATGGATTCGTAGCCTGAGCCATCTTCCGAGTTCAAAACCATTTCATCATTTTGCAGGATTGGGCTAGACATTTCAAATCGCTTCATTCTTTCACCAACATTCAAACAAACCCTATAGCCAAGGATATTCTGTACGGACTCGACCCAGACACTATTTAAATCCTCTTCACCCAAAGCATCTTGAAAGCTTTGGGAGTGCTTGAAATATCGCAGTGGGATAGCCATGATTCCCCAGCCCCTAAGTAATTTGTTAAAACCCATAGTTGATAAGGAGAGATCGTAAAAGTACGGATCAGCAGACTAGATGTGGACCCTCAATGTTTCAAGAAATTCAACCTTCAAACTGAATTCAATGTTTCAAATGATGTGAATCTCTCAAACAATATGAAATCCAACTGAGTTGACAGGAAGAGTCTCACACTGCCCGCCTTTAATCCGAGCTATTGAAACAATTGAAGCTGCGTAGAAGGACTTACATTTGAGATAATCTGGGTCCTGGATCAGGGGCAAGAGGTAAGCCAATCAATCTAGAGTTCTCCTCCCATATATCTAACAGCCACATGCTACCCAGAATATCAGTAGCTATAATCGATTTAGCCAAGCCAGTTTTATCGTCATCATTGAAATCAATGGCAGGGATGTTGTGACTAGGTCCGGCTGGCTTGAGGATGATTCTAAAATTACGGGGACATGGTGTTCCTGGTAGATACGGGCCTTGAATTACGGAATGTCCATCATGTCTTTCAAGCTGGGTAGAATATCTCAAGGGAAATGTAGTGTTTGTAAAAGGTCCATTCGTCTCATAACTGAAACCTTTGGAACAACAGTCCTTAGGAAATCCTCTCTGGGATTTGGCCTTAACTCGAAATGTCAGGGGGTCGTTGATAACATCGTATGTGGTGCCAATCACAGCGCAATCGCAAAGCTCACTACTAGAGGTGCCATGAATAAAGACAGTGACTTCTTGTTTATTAGAGCTTACTGCAATCAAGCGCGATTTTTGATGAATAGCAATACCCCAAGCACTTATCCCGACATTCTCGAGAAAAAATCTGAAATGAGTAAGAAACAGACCACAGAAAGAAATCTAATTCAATACTCACGGTTGCGTGCTAGCGATCGGAATTGAATCAGCTGTACTTTCAACCTCTTGTTGAAGCTCTTCTGCTAGGAGGTCCGTATAATATGCCGTTACATCCCCATCATCGCAACAGAACAACAGTATCTCTTTGTTGCCCAGATTGCCAATAATCATATTGTTAACACAATGCGGGCGAGATTGGTAAACGTATCCAGAACCTGCATTGCCCGACTTTGGTAATCGAAGAATCATGTCTGGTACACCGGGCAGCATTTGCTTGAGTGTTCGAGGTCTTGTGATGTGTATCGTATCCAGATATGCCACGAAGTACATCTGTAGTTAGATGAGCATCAGTAATCCAATAAATATCCAATAAATATCCAATAGACGTACATTATACTTTTGCGACAAGGCCACCAAGTTCATTCTCCACGTTGCTGGCCGAGGCATACCTTGTAAAAAAGCCGTCTTAGCATCGCTTGGGAGTTTGTGGATAGAGGTCTGAATATCATCAAGGGCCTTGCTATCAAGACCACTTGAAGAGAACTATAACCGGTAAGTATGATATAGAAGCGGTTATTTGACTGACCCGCAAAGACGTGACAAAAATAGCATCTTTCCCATGGAAATGTGGTTTTCATTAATCGATTAACTACACTGAAATGACCATACGACTCAACTTGACCTTCAACCTCCATGGATTAATCTTGATGCCATGTGTAAGTCATCATAGCAGCAAAAACATTGCATGTAGTCAAAAAGTCTCGCACCATCGCACGACAGTCCGGAGACACATTGATGGGACTGATCACGTACTCTTTCTTTTGGTGTCTGAACATCATAACTTGTAATAGCAAGAGAACTTGTCAATTCGTGCTCCTCCATCATTGCTAGAATTTTCTCTCAACAAAGTCATTGAATTTTTTGGGAATATCAACGATATTGATAATTATAAGATGCAGATGCAGATGCAGATGATGGATGACCAAATCTTTGTGATGCAATAATGATGAGAAATGTGGTTTTGATTTAACTAGTTGATACGAGAAAAGAAAGCTTAAGCACGGACCACACGGGTAAGCTTTAATATGCAAGGCTAGTAAGGTTATGTAAGGTTATGTAAGGTTAATAAGGCTACCTATACCAGCTTTAAGAATGAGGGGCAGCTCCTCAGCCACGAAGCCACTCATATCACACCTCCAGGGCTACCTAGGTAGGCGGGGGCGCTCTGAGTATTCAAGACCTCCAGCTTTTTGTTTAGTATCCCGAGGTCACATCAACCATCTCTACTACCAAGTCAGAAAGTCATCATAGGGATCATTAATTACTTTTATTCATTCTTCGTCACGTTTTGTTCTGTTCTCCATCCCATTGTCGTGCCCAGCCCAATCTCACGCAATCCACGCCCCAAACTATATTACAAGCCAGCCAGCATAACTCATAAAACATGCTTCACTCATTTATCCCAATGAAAATCACCCCTCTATTTCTTTGCATCCTTCTCAACCTTTCCCTTCAACTTCTCTGCCTCCGCGACCTTCTTCTCCACCACCTTACTGATATCCTCATAAGCACTCTTTACCAAGCCCTCCAACTCATCTCCATGATCCTTTGCCACATCTTGCAAATGTTGTAATTTCTCCCACAACTTTTCTGATCCGGGGATTCCTGCCATCTTCGCAGCTTGTTGAGCATACTGCTGGACATTCTGTCCCAACCCACTGTTCTTTGCCTTCTCTCCTGCATCCTTGACATATCTCTGAAGATCATCTGTGTTGCCAGACTCAACCGCTCTCTTGACTTGATCGAAGATATCCTTAACATTACCGGACTTCAAGGCATCGGCATTCTTTTCGACGATCTCCTTAACCTTAGGGTTCTTCTCCAAATATGGTTTCCACTCCTCCATACCCTTATTCCAAGCTTGTTCTCCAAGCTTCTGAACCTTCTCGCTCTTCTCTTGGATCAATTTACGAACTTTTTCGATCGACCCAGCACCCAATCCTCCAGAGAGAATCTCAGAAACTTTCTTGTAAGTGTCATCCAATTCTTTCTTGGCATCCGGTCCATAATTCTCAGCCATGCTCTTCAACTGATCCAAGTTACCCCCTACTTGTTTCTTGATTTGTGGGTGATTGTCCATAATGTCTCCTAGAGAGTCCTTCCCTAATTCAGCAATCTCGCCCAATGCCTTTGTCAATACATTATAACTCTGGACCGCAGTCTGCATATCAAGTCCTCCTTTGTTACTGATATTCTTTAATTCAGAATAGGTTTTATTAACAATTTCATCGACTTCCTTGCCATGTTTTTCTTGTACTTTCTCAATATCGTTAAATGCACTATCAAGGAATGATTGTGCACCGGGGATAAAGGCCGCATAAGAAGAAGTGGCATTGCGGAGCCATTTGATTGCTTGATTTGGTTCGGGAGCCTTTTCAGATAGTGCTGAGGTAGCTTTTTGGAATTGAGATTTCGTGGAAGAGTAAGCGTTGACGACGGTTTTGGCACCAGAGAATTGGTAGTATGTGTAACATCCCTGAGGTATGTAGTTAGTATGGTGTTCAAAGGTAGATCAATACTTATAGTAAAGAGAGATAATTACTTACAACTAAAACCACGGCACCACCAGCGACACCCGCTGCAAAGCCCGAAGCACCACCTGCCTTTGCACCTTCAGCTTGTGTCGTCGAAACCAATCTAGTTTGTCTAGCTTGTTGTCTAATGGGTGCACGAATTGTGCGAACCGCAGCTCTTGATGCTGTTCTTGAAGCGAGCATTATGTATGTATTGTGTATTGTGTATTGTGTATTGTGTATTGTGTTCTGTGTTGTAGTTTGTGGATCTTATTACGAAGAATGGTATGTGTACGATGTGTATCAAGGGAGGAAACAACGACGTGTAATTCAATCGATATGTAAAGTACGGGTATGAAACTTTTCAAGGGATGTATTTGTATATGGAGAGAAGAAGAAGAACTTGACCAGCTTTCAATTCTTATATATGCATCTACTAGTTAATTATCTGAATAATTCTGGATCCTCTACCAGTAGCTCGACGTCAATACTTGGTACTGGAAAACTTGGTAGCATGCAATTCTTCAATGATTTTCCATCGAATGCCACCTTTTGCGTACATCAATCGGCACAAAGCGTTGTGAGATTATGAGAGGAATGACGACACTTCCCTCACTACCCTGCAAATCCCCCGCTTAAATAGCTCCGGCGTCATATGTGGCGGTGCGATGGAATGGCTGGTGTCTTCCAAGGTACACCTGCGGGCAACCAGTCCAGTTATGACAAAGAGAAACACGAAATCATGAACATTTCGTTCTAGACACTCCGGGAAAACATGCATAATAGCAAAATAAATGTTGTGCAAAAAATGCATATAGATGAGTCAAAAATGTAAGGGGCAAGCAAATAATGTCATTATTGTTGTTGCCAGTATTGCTGTTGCTGTCGATTTTGCGGGACAATAGGTTTCCATAATCATACGTATGGATCTTGTTGCATCCTCTGCGTAACTTAACAATAAGTGTATCTGTGCAAGGCACTAAAGTTGAGCTGAAAAATGATTTTTTTTGTATTTTGATCTGCACCAATGGTCTATAATAATGGTTGAGTTGCGTTTCTAATCACGATTTTAACTCCCATATAAATTCAAAGGTCGAACATATCCTCCTCTTTCCCTCTAAACTATCCATCATGTTTTTTTTTCCAATTCATAAAACCATTCTTTCATTGAACTCATGCCATGTCATATTTCGTATCATCCCATTGTATCATGTAAGTCGTAAAACCCAAAACCACCGCCCTCCTATCCGTGTCCAAATCCATATCCGTATCCGTGTATAATCATCATCCGTGAAACAATCGATCGTAGGTATCTCGTGGTGGAAATTCGTAAACCCCTCTAGTTCTTAGGATATCTAACCACAGTCCAAGTAGCGATAGCCGCACTAGCCAACATCATAGCACCTCTTCCCAAATTCAACATTGCCCAACGATCAACCAGCTCGTGAGCCGTTCGAACATCCTCATCTTCATCAGATGCCTCCTTCCTCCTGCTGGAAGAACTCTTCTTGTAACTTCTATCACTTCTCTCGCGGTCCTTGGAAGATTTCTTGTGCTTGCGACCAGACCCAGATGAAAGATCATCCCAATCTCCTCCAGATTGATTGGCATAGCCTACTTGTGCTTCATCCACCTTTCCCAACAACTTTGAATTTGTATACATCATGAACAAAACTGTATAAGGGATCATTCCTACAGCCAACGCGCCGGCAGCAGCAAACAACTTCATCTTGAGTTTATCCGTCTGTTTGTATGCGAGGAAGAGGAACGATCCCGTTGGAATCAACGAAGCGATTGGGAAAAAGGCTTTCCCTTGTTGAAACATGTTGTTCCATTGTTTGAGTAAAAGGTGCGGTGGAGATTCGAGTATTCTCGGAACGGCAATGAAAGAAATGCTGAGGTTGGCACCAGCCAGAGCACCTGCAGCAGTGATTCCAACACACTGGGCCACACGAATAGGCAACTGAATATCCGTCATTTTTGGGAAAGACGCAAAGGTCGAAGGAGAGGAAGGTTTGGATAAGAAAGGCATGATGAATAGATAGATATCGCAACGAGGGGTAACAACGAATACACAAATGTGAATGATAGATATGTACTGCAGATTGGATGAAAAGGCGGGAGGGGATATAAATGGTTATGTTTGATGTGGATGTGGTGGGACGAGAGAGATCAAATGGTTTGATAGGATTCGATGCAAGTTTTAGAGTCGAATGCAAACTGCATAACACACAACTTGCTGGCGGTGAAGGGACGTATCTTGAGCTTGGACCAGCTAGCTACATGGTAACCAACCACTTTCAGATGAATTATTAATTATTATGCCTTATTTTTGTTCAGATCTTGATAGCATGTAAAAGACCCCTCCACCGCGTCTTCCGCTCATGAAACAATGAAGATTTCTTTTCTAAAGTTGGGTATCAATCGAAAGGACGTTGTCTTTACCATTGGTACAAATTCAATACGTGACCTGAATCATCCACCGAAAAGTTTGTTCCTTACCTCACTTCAGCTCCCGAGGCATCTCTCATCGCGTCGGTGGTAAGATCTGGAGTAGGTACCTTACATAAGGTTACTGTAACCTACTTACATAAGCTCAACAGATATTTAACCCCTCTTTTCGTGCTGAGTACGAGCACATGAGTGACGCGTGATGCAATGGAGATCGAGTTGAATATTAGCTTCTAAGGTAACTTTACAAGTGTGTAATAACCATATAGCGAAAGTTCTGGTCTTCAAAATTGCTCGATCACAGAGTGCTCGAGTATCAAATATGAAAGACTCATGCTTTTCCCATCAAGATACCTCGGTATTGACAGCTATGCGGTCGAGGCGTTCTTACATCACAACCAGAAGTGCCCAACACAAGCAAAGTGGTGTGGACATGACTCGGATTCGGACAATTGCATCCCCATAAATATCCAGAATAACACGTGAGACACGATTCCAAATGTTTGTTTCCTGCAAAACGTGACCGGATTTCGATCGGAGCCAACCACCACATCGTCAGTCATAAGGCTGCCTAAAAGAAACCATCAGTGGATCCAACATCTCCATCGTTAGTGAGTGGACGAACCTGACACTTACCGATATACGTCGAGACTTCTTCGCTTGTATCGAAACTGTATGACTCCTCTGAAACTTCCGACTTATGGGGAACCACACCATACTCTGTAAGAAATAAGGCGTACAAACGACAAGAATAAAATCAAGGAATTCCAGATGATTTGCGCTGTACTGCATTGCTGGCATGAAGTTTCAGGCCGTCGATCAATTTGAATGCAATGCTCGCCCCATGAATGACTATCGTACCATAGAATCGGTTTCCTGGGACGTTAACGTTGGACCCCATCAATAGCCGAGCAAGAGCCGGATCTTGAGCCCCTGGCTTATGGGGTTGGAGGTGGGGTTGCGAATAACATCATTCTGTTGAAGTTGGTGTACTAAAAAGCAGGGCCGTTCGACCTTCAGAATTGTCTCACCGTGTTTTTCTTCGAATAGTGTACTATAGTCGGAGTTTGCGGGGAATCCTATTTGACAGCCGAAAATCCCTCGATTGTTCAAGATCTTGAACACATCATCCTGAGTCATATATTTGATCAATGGAATCTTCCATGCGTTGATATGAATGGAATACACGGGAAGTACACGTTCATTGAAACACCTCCCCCTTAGACGCCCCAACACCCTTTTTGTGATATGATTTCTAATACATCTTCCTATCTCACTCCCTCACGATTTCTCTGGCTTCAACGTCACTTACTACCTCCACGACATCTATAATCAACATCATGAACACTCGCTTGCCCCTCAACTCCCCCAATGATGAACCACACCCTCCTCAATCTTCCTTTCCATTCACGATCTTCCTTCCATCTTCCTAGCTTCACAATTCCATCTTCATTTCTTCATGGCAAGTCCCCATCCATTCCATTCCCATCCAAGGAACACCCTCTTGAGATCCAAAGTCCATAATCGCTTCACACTTCACATCCACATTGCGCTTCATTCTTTGATAATACTCAACATATTTTGATTATCTATATATGCTTGAATACACATGTCCCCAAACCCAGTCCAGCGCAGTCCATAATCCCCATTCCACATCATCCAGACCACAGGCTCAAACGCCAACCCAATGCAATTCATTACTCAAACCACAAACGCCACTCCGAGTTCCCTATGCATCCAGAACTCCATCTCCATCTCCCTCCTAAGCCTTAGTAGTGAAATCCGTCTCAGTAGGAAGTAATTCACCATCTGTAGCTTTCTCGCAGGTGCATGCATCTATTTTTCATCAGTACTCAAATCCATATATCATCTCCCTCCGTTCCCCGTTTACACAGAGGAAAAATGAGAAAAGAACATACCAGCAGGTCTAGCACCACATGAACAGAGATCTCCAGAAGGAACCTTGTTTTCCTCGGCTGATCGCTCGCAGGTACAAGCTCCAGCTGCACGGGCACCTGGGGATTTGTTAGTTGTATTGAAATTTTTGTAGGAGGGTAATACATACGGCATGAACATCTGGCACCCTCGACCTTGTTCTCGCTCTCGGATTTGGCGCAGGTGCATTCGAGAGCTTTCTTTTCGCCGCAGGAACATTTTGCTTGGGTTGCTGGGGGAAGGGTTAGTTAGGTTGTTCGGGTTATTTCACGTGATATTTCATGAGGTGTAGATATTTTGTGAAAATATGTTGTGAGGATGAATATCGTGAAAGGGAAGGTGGGGAAGAGGTGAAGGAGAAGAAGAGAGAGGAACAAAAATAGATAGATAGGAACATACCACAAACACAACCATTGCTAGCATTCTCGCCCTTCTTGCAACATGTTGATGGAGCCATTTTATTTAAAAATTTGTTTGATATTGAAGTATTGAAAGTTCAATGTTGTTGATTTCGAGATCGTTGAAGTGCTTGATTTTCGAGTTGTTTCTTGAAAGTATTTATTGACGAAAAGATGAAGCTTTTAATTGTAAAGTAAAGAATTGATGTTGATATTGAAGTAATACATGTCCTTTATATACTTTCACTCCCGTACTATAGAATTGGTGGTTGATACTAGAAGCTGTGTTGGTCGTTAATTGATGACCATTGCTTACAATTACACGAGCGTTTATTGGTCGGACAGGTCTTGTACTGAAATAGGTGGGGTTTGATTGGATGGTTTTTGGAGATTCAATCATAATCGAATGATCGACTTGCTGTGAACATCAATTCACGAAGGCCAACAGCTCTCGGAAGCGTCATCAAATCCAACAAACCTTGCTCCTGATTTGTAAGGTAGAGATGGACTCCTAGATCTTTGATGTTATTCGATCACTCACGTGCACATCACCAGAATTGATCTAACATCAGATTCAGAGAATTCAAACAAAGTTTATCCACGCACGTAGGTACATTATCTACATTTCGATACGACTAGCCTCAGACACTATGACTACAGCGGTCTATTCTCCATCTAGACTTTTTCCTTAGGCTATATATACGTTCAAAGAATGTTTTCCCTCGTACTTCTCTGTTCTACTTTCCTCGTAGCCATCCGAGAAGGATCGTACGGGCGGTATCCATAGCCCTGCGACCTCTCTCCACCGAAAGCTCAGCAGTGGAAGCCTCCGTTCTTACAGAGGCTGCATTTTCTCTCGCTATCGCCATCTCTCCATATGTAGCAGAAGTGATAGCTTGATCCGCCAATATTCGTGCCCTCTCTGCCGCAGCTACTACTGCCAGAGATTCATTTAGAGAGTCTGTCAACCTGATATCCAGCTTTTCTACCGCCTCACTGGCAGCCGTTGCGTATTTTTCAGCAATGGCACGTGCAGCAATGTCTTGCTTTCGAGCGTTATCGCACTCGCGGACCTTTGCTTGGGCAGCTTCGACTCTTACTAACACATCTGCCACCTTGTCTGAAGTTGACTCTGCCTGTTCTCGTAATTCTCGAGAGAGTATCTGTGTCTGGCTTTCGTCTTCTTCATCTTCGCCTTCATCATCTCCAGGGACATGGTCCGGTTTCTCGGCGTCCTCGACATTGGTTGCTGCCTCCACGATAGCATTAGTTTTGCTTATCATTTGTCGTGCCGCCTCTGTAATCTCGGCAAACGAGGCCCAGGCAGTTGTTTCGCATACAAAGAAGTCCGTGATTCGGATTGCTGTGGCTTTTAAGGAGTCGCGTCTGGCCGTTTTTGCAGCCTCACATAGCTGTCTATCGTACCCGGATACTTTTAAAGCAAATTCACTCGTAGAAGAGGCAGCAATAGTAATGCGGGAGATATCAGCTGTAACTGCATGCGTAATGGCAAGTAGCTGTTTGCGATATTCAACGTATACATAGATCCATGCAGCTACTAGCATAGCGACAAGACTAAGACTGAGAATTGGCAGGAGCATTAAGTAGAAAACATCCGGATGGAAAGATGTAAGGTAGGGAAATAGGAAAAGGGCAACACAGCACCACCAGTCGAGGAGTTTATACAACCGAGAAATATGGTCAGAGTATTCTAGATAGCCGAAGCGAAATGGACCATAGAACTTTGCAGTTGGTGCAAAGAATCCGATGGTGGCTATGCCTGCAAGAAGACAGACATGGAGCCATGGTCGTAAGGGGAGTGCGAGCCCATAATGGATGGAAATATACGTAAGTAAAACGACCAATGAGCCAACTACAAGAGTTAGATTCAGTAAGACTTTCGAGACAAGCTAACAAGTTGTACAAATCTAGAAGACTTACTTTTGACGTAGGGTGCTAAACGTGTAGTCACTGCTTCGATAGCCGGTAGAGATTTCCTGAACTCAGACACTTCTGGATCTTCCCCAGCTGGACTACTCTCGGGAAATCTCAGATAGCCTTTCGTGTAAGCAAATACCAGGCCGATAAGGAGTGCTGGGTTGTGCATTGGATCTAGATCTACCAAGTTGAGGCGAAGGGTATGAAGCAGATAAAAAATTGCCCCACAAAAGACAATATTTGTGCCAGATCCTTTCTGACGAGACGCGTCTGGGCTCTCGTTGGACAGGTTGATATTAGGAAGCTTTAAGTAGCCACAGACATGAGCTACGAGCAGAACAACCACGAAAGTGGGACTTTTAAATAGCTCGAGGTCCACCCCATCGGCTTCGGATTTGGACAGATAATACAAGACTGCAACGGCGATGACGAGCCCTACTCAAGTGCAACGGTAAGCTATCACTCTGGCGAAACCTGTCATTCCCAGAACTCACTAGTACTACTTGCTCCGAATAATCTAGACCCCGCTCGAATGGAGAGGAAGATATTTTCCCAAAATGGACTAGGAGAAGTCATGTTAAAATACGATGCTCAATAGCAATCGGCACGGGAAACGCTGATATCTCGAGGTAATGAAGAAATGAATTTCCAATCGACACTTGACTAATATGATAGTTCGCTTTCAATTCATACGTCGGCTTTTGAAGCTCTTTTAAATCTTCTTCCTATCCATTATTTAGTTCTGTAACGGCTATTAGCACTCCGTAGTGGACAGCTATTCCACGCTGCAGATGCATGTCAGATTTATAACTGCTTATTGATATACTTCTATACAACGGTAGCTTTCTGCATTTGCGGCTATATGCTTTATGGGCTATCATTGACAGACGAGGTCGCATTTCAGCTACACTCAGACCCCACCATATTGGATCAATCCCACTTGCAGAAGCATGTCAGACTTATGACTACCTATAGATTGACATCTATACTACCAATTGATCTACTTCCATATAACGGTCTTTTCTTATTTTTAGACAGCTGCGGCTTTCCATATTCAATCAAGTATTTTTCTAAAGAAAAAAAAGTATCCACCACCAACTTATTCTGTGCATGTCGATTGATCTTTGGTGCTACACAAAATTCAATTCTCGCTTTTTACTTGACTGTGCTTTGAGGTCAGTTATCTCAAAGAAAGCTCACTCGAGGGCAGTGTAATTTGTGACTCTGGTTCAACGTACAAACATCAAAATCTTTCTTCCTTTTCGCCCGAATTTTCTCATGAGCTCGGTGCCATGGCAAATCCTATTACACTCTTCACTTTCGTACAAGGCACTAGAGTACCAGTAACCCCACTGAATTATGACAATTTCAAAGGAGGAAGGAATCGCACAGAGGGCTCATTTCGTCTTATCGAAGTCAGTGGTCTCACGTTGACCCCTCCAGTTCTGAGGATCGTTGAATTTTCCGACATAAAATTTGGACAAAATGCAGCACGTAAACTCCAAAAACTTTCTACTCTTGGCACCAAATACACAGCGATCAGCCATGTCTGGAATCCGTCCCCCGAGGTCGGACTTCAAATGAACGATATGGATGACAAGAAATTATTTGGTTTAGAATTTGATCCTCCGCATGGCGGAACAGGATTGAGATTGGTAAATCTCAGTTGGATTGGCCTGAACCAAATGGCATATGCTGCCAAGATGAAAGGTTCCAAATACATATGGCTCGATCTCTGCTGTATCGACCAGCCGGACAGGAAGGGCAACGAGATGAAGTTTCAGATCTCTATGATGGCCGACATCTACCGGTACGCGAACAATGTCATTGTTATGGTCGGCGGCGCTGGCTGCGTTCAACACACCGATCAAGTTAGCCCGTGGATGGAAAGAGCTTGGACCCTCCAAGAAGCGATTCTTAACAGGAAGACCTTTGTTTGCGTGTTATGGCCAAACTCTAAGAGAAAGGTGACTTATATTTCCAAAGGACGACCCGTCGTGTGGATGTTCCGACAGGTGATAGCCGCGAGTGCCGCGCCAAGAACGTCGTCTGGGGACATTTGCTGCCTCATTCCTCTCAAAGACCTACTCGATATGGCTGATGTGGACTCTCTGCTACTCAAACCGTTAGGCTGTCCAGAAATTAGCGTTCTCGATGGAATGACACTCAAGGCCGGCAATGCACCAAGGCTAGCGTTACGGGCAGCATTCCCAAATTCTCCTCTGGCGATAAAGTACACAGGCGTGTGGAGGAGCATGTTCATGCGAACATCGACCAAATCTATTGACGTTGTCTACAGCATCATGGGAATCTTTAAACTGGTGATTGACCCTTTCAAAAAGAACCACGATCCTTCTTTCATGTTCAATGATTTGGCCCGCAAAACGGGAGCAACACCAAGTATTGGCGCATGGGGCTGGCTATCTATTGGCGGAGTCAATGGTAGTGATATCCCGTTGGATGACACATCCAGAATAATTCCACAATTTCCTCATGATGAAGCTAAGGTTGCTGCCACGACGAACCAACCTCCAGAGATGAATTTCGGTGGTAGGTGGGAATGGGTTGGTCATCATGTTGATCACTCCCCATTCTATATCACCTCACCGGGCTCTTACCGTAAGACCCACAATATCAACTTCATGACACACTCTCAGCCACATATCATAAACGCGACTATGATTCCTGTGAACCACAAGCCTACAAAAATAGGCTCGACGCCTGTCGCAACTGCTGGTCGGAAAGGTGTGAAAAGAAAAGCCTCTATGCTCAAGCTCATGAATTTTTCGGGGCGATGTGTTCACGGCGGCGACCTCGTTGGATCATGGAGTCAGCCCGGAAGTATTCAGGCCGTCTTTGTAGGGGAGGTTGGTGATATGAGCACAGCGGTCGAAGTTGCTAAACCTCGTTCTGATTACACAGGTTGGATGTACTTCCTCTTCTTCAAATACTCCAGGAGCGAAAAGAAATGGCAGATAGTTGCAAACGGTGCCTGGAAGGCACCCGCAGGATGGAAGCTCCCTGTATCCCGTCGCTCAATCTTTAACGTCGGCAATCATGCACAGATGCAGTTTAAGAAATGGTCGGCGGATGATAACGAGTGGGTAGATCAGAGGTATCAGATATTTAGGCATAGCTATGGAGTAGAACCCTTGCGTGGATGGTTGAGCGACCACCCTAAAGAAAGGAAAATAAAATGGTTTGGATCCAAGGTGAATACATTATTTCTCATTTTGATTTGTGTGATGCATTTTATCAGAGATGAACAACAAGCTTACTCAAATTAGGGCTCTATCCCCCCTATGACTGCCAAACTTGTGTGGCGAAACTTTGAGTTCAATTACGATTTATTGAAAAGTTTCGTCCCTCTGATGAAAAAAGTGAATGAGAACGACGATGACTCAGATAAAGAGGATCATCAAGATGAGGCGTATATCGAAAAAGAAGAGAATGCGCCACTAGATGATCTACTTAAACAAGGACACATTCACCACTTGCGAGTCCTGTCCTGTATCGTCGACGAGAGCCGTATTCCGCGAACCAGCACAACACTGACGCCCTACAAGATCTTGCAGCAGGGCTCTATGCCCATGACTTATAGGTACGGGGATTGGCCGAAAGCAGTACATATCAAGCTCATCAAATGTAATGTTGAGGGCCTCATGATCCCCAATCCGTGGAATAACAGCGAACCAGTGTTGAAATACCAAGTGCGGATTGAGTTTGGTTATCGCGTCATGTATGTCCAAATGAGACATAAAGGAAAGAAGGATCAGAGGTTCTATAACATGTACTGTGTACCGTACAGGGCTCCCGGACAAAGTGGTCCAGTCCGCAACAAGAAGAGTCTTATAGCTTCGCAAAATCCTAACTATGGTCCCTCGTCTTATCAACTGCCGGTCGCATACCAGCCTGATGGATCGTTATATACGTCTATTTAAAGTTGTAATCTTCACCGTTTAGTCTTAACCAAGTTTTAATGCTCCCTTTTAAAACTTTAGGACGAAAATTAGCAAATCAGAACTTGACAAGCCAAGACGAGGTCTTGAATAACAAAAGGGTTGATGAGTGAGAATGATGTAATCTTCACTCTTTACCTCGAATCAGAGAGTGTATAATATCTAATTGGTCAAAATCAATCATATTCCTGATTCAATAGGAATTTTAACCTACGCTTACTATGCTGTGTAACTCAAATCATCGGCTCACCAGCTGTCCAAAAAACGCCACGCCGCCTATATAAGTAGCCACTTCTCATTTGTGTTTCATCGAGGAGAGTATCTTTCTTCGTCCGGTGAGTGTGACTTCGTATTACCAACAATACCCAACTGCGTATATCGGTTATCATGAGCCAATTGACTTAGATATCAGATCGCCATATCCGGACACCAGTAAAATCTCGTTACTTTTTGACACAGCTGTATGCTGCCTCTACACCATTTATCTCATTGGCATTGCAATCATCAGTATCCACATCCCTTCTAACCACAATTTATTTCCTCTGCAATGTCGGATATTCCAGACGATATCAACACACAATTTCTCGAGCAATGGAAAAATCCCGGCGACGTCTTCTCCGTCCTCCTTATCGTCGGTGGTGATGTTATTCTCCTCGCTCTAGCCTGTC